TTTTTTTTTTTTTTTTTTAGCTGAGCCATCCTGCCACCTGTTGGCAGCTCAGCGGCTGCTCAACTTGGGCTGGGAATGGAACCGTTGTTGCTCAGAGCTCAAACTCTTGAGCAAGCTCTTAACCAACTGAGCCACTCGGCCGGCCCAGGAACTATTTATTGAATGCTCACTGTGTCTCAGGCCCTATGCTGAGCATTGGGGCTAGATCAGGGAACAAAATAGACAAATGTCTCCCCTTATGAGGCTGACCTTCTAGTAGGAAAGGGAAACTATAATAAATAGAAACACATATATTGGGTTGTCGGAAAAGTCATGACACATTTTTGCAACGAAAAACATAGAAAAATACATCATGACTTTTCTGACACCCCAATACATAGATAGTATGTTGGGTAGTAAGAAGCACTCTGCAGCAAAATAAAGTTAAGGGAGCTCAAAGGTGATAAGGGCATCACATTTAGGTAAGTTGATAGAGAAGGTCTCTCTGATAAGGTGACGACAAGTAAAGGCCTATAAGAAGTGAGGGAACAAGCCGTGCAAGGTGCAAGTACCCAGCCTAGGAGGGCGGTGCCTGGTGTACAGTACAGCCTCATGGGAAACCCTGCTCGGGACACAAGGAACCAGGGAACTGAGGCTCCACATGCTCTGAGGAGCAGCCTCCTGCCCTGCTACCTGGGTCCTCAGGCTCCCACTCTCCTTTGCATGGACCCACCAACAGAACTCCCATCAGGGACACTAAGGGTCCTCGCCCTGTGGGGCAACCAGCACTGAGGGGCTAATCAGAGGCGTAGGAGCAGCCTCAGAGAACAAGCAACCATCTAATCCAAGTGAGATAAATTATATAAGGAAAAATGTAGGCTGTTCGCCAGACATCATTTTTACAGGGTGTAAGAGACGACAGAACAGTCCTTGAGCTGAGGGGATGCCGAATAAGGAAAGACAGAGACGTGAAAGCTCCACTGGGTTTTGCTTGGAGTGGAAGCAGAGAGGCAGCGTGCCAGAGCGAGAGCTGGGTATCCTGGCATCCCCTGCAAAACGAGATGAAACAATGTGCATACCGCCCCCCCGCCCCCGCCATAGTCACAGAATTGGGTTGTGGGTAATTTGAGGAGTTCGAGGTTCCCTACGGCCCACCCACAGACCCCAAGGGCCATGGGTTACTATCTGGACAGTTCAGTTGAGCTTAGCTGGTGAAGATTCAGGAACTGCAACTTTGGAGCCCCGACTTTAACCTCCAGCTTCATGAAGGTTAAAAAATAAGTAATACTTTAAATAATTTTAGATTCTTCCTTTTCTTTGTTAGGCTACTAGAAGGTTCTCAACCCAAACTGGCAAATGTATAGCGCATGTGCTTTTTGGCCTCCCTTCACCCTCAGTAGGCATTGCTAAGCCTCCTGTTTGAGCCATGGTGTAGCCTCCTAAACATTCTCAAAGTCCCCCTTTATATTAGAAATGGTGTTAACCACCCACTGGCAGAGGAACACATGGTTTGTTTTTTTTTAATATAGAAGAATGAATTATATGAGATTTTTTTTGGGTTTTTTGCCTATTTTCTTATCCTGTGTGATTAGCTGTCAGATTGAGGTTAGGGGTAGACTGTGGTCAGAAAATCGATTTTCCATTTGAAGCTATGGGGTTGATTTAATGCCTTGGTCTCAGGTTCAGAGCAAGGAGCCCAAGTAGCTATAAAGCTACTTAGTAAAAGTCACAGATCTCAAAGATAAAGCGCGTATGTGTGTGCACACGTATGTATATAAGGTTATACGACAGAAAAGTCTGAAGGCAGGCAGGAGGTGATAAAGAAGAAAGATAAGATTTGAAGTCTTCTGAGAGCTGAGAAACCATTCTGGCCTAAGAAAAGTAAACCTTGTAATAATAGCAAAGTTGAACCAACAGGTATGCCAGTAAAATGCTGTTATTATTTGCCTTATTTGGACCTAGTCCACATTTCTGTTTAATTGCTCTTCTCATTTTCTCGGGTAATAATTATAAGGCTAACTTTTCAAATAAAATAAAATTGTTCCTCTGCTCTATGCAGACTGGCTACAGAGCAGGTTAAGGCAAGTCTCTCCAAACCCTTGTCCTAAGTCAGTTGGTCTTGGAGGTTGAGTGTGTGACCTGGATGAGGAAGATGGTTTATCCCAGCTCTTGCACTAATTATCTGAGAAGTCACTTGGGATGGTGGGTCAGTGAGGCTTTCTAGGCCTCAGTTTCCTTGGCTATTAAGCAAATATGTTGGACTAGTTAATAGAAAATATGTCTGTGCGTGAGTGTGGTGTGACGTAAGGAGTGACAAACATTTTGAAGGATAAACCAGTAATTAGTTTCAATATGTTCTACGGTGAGTCTCTAACCCTAACCTAGTTACTAACTTCTCTGTCATTGGTCAAGAAGGTCATGCAAGGGTGAGACGGAAGTTCTGTAAAATCCATCACTGCAGTGTGAGAAAGCAAAGCAAACATCCTTCTAATGACTCAGTAATACCTTCTGATACTCAACACGATGGAAACCTTCGCTTTGCCTGCACTTACTGGGATTGCAGCCTCTTGGTCTGTAAAATGGGGTAATAAAGCTTACAAATGGGAAATTACTTATTGCTTAGGGGAACAGCATGTAAAGTGTTAAAAATTACTTAGAAACACATACAGTACTCTCCGTGTTTTTAAGCATTTCTAGAAACTTTAAGATCCAATCCCTGACTTTGCTCTTTGTAGGAGGTTGATTCTTGCAAACTGCATTTGTTAGGGTCATGTGCCCAGTGGCTTCTGGGTAAATTTGGCCAATGGGAAACACTGCTGGGAGATTAAGAGGCAAGGAGAAGCCAGGGCATTCCTCCTCCTCCCCACTCTTGGCATTGAGAGGTGTCTCTGGCAGCGATTCCTTTGTGGTTCCCCCTCTTCTTGGAAAACCGGTCTCTCTGTGGTCCCAGCTTCTCCTGAGGCAGCCCCCACCACAGTTCCAGCTCTTGCTGGGTGGCTCCCTCAACACCCACCACCCCCTCCCTTTGATCCTCCAGCCCTACAGGTAATAGCAGTTTGCTCATCTCTGTATTGCTTCACAGTGCCTTCAGCCCTCCCAACAACATGTGCAATGAATTCCCTCCTTGGCACCACTTGGCATGGGCTCTGCTTTCCTGACAAGACCCTGAGTCCCACTGAGGGGGCTACAGGTCTCCAAAGAACAGACATCGTGTTTAGGAGTATACAGACTCCAGAAAACATACTTGGCAGGTTCATTCCTTCTTTATTGTCTGGGAAGGTCTCTCAAAGTTTTTATTTGCCTGACCACCTAGTACTATTTGCACTAGATGTATTTTAACACGGAAGGAGCACTGGACAGAGAATTAGAGAACTAGAACTCTCTATCCATTCATGTGACCTTCACAAATACCCTAGAGCCAGATGAGCCTGACGTCATTCATGTCACAGAGGGATCAGAGTTCAACTGGCCTGCCTGACTGCCTATTAGGCTCAAACATGGGAGGGTATAGAAATATGCTTTATAAACTGACATGGTCCTTGCAAATCTAAATATATATTACTATTATTACATGCGACACATTGACTTTCATAGAACAAAAAGTGCTTTGCACTCAGCTAAGCCCGATTTTGATTTCTCAGCCTAATTTACACTAAATGTACTAACAAAACAAAAGGGCATAGACCAGTACCTGGCACATCACAAGTGCTGTGTGGGACCTAGCTATGGTTTCTGTGCTAGGCCCTCCTTTGCATGGAGTTTACCAAAGACCACGCAGGGCGGTCCAGGTGAACTTACCGATGTCAAGGACCCTCTGCTTTGCCGTATGCTGCCGAGAGTGCCAGTACTTCCAGTATTTCAGCTGTTCATCTCGGTTTTTGTCTTCACTGAAGACCACCATGACCACACTCTGCAGAGGGGAGAATCACAGAACTTAGTTTGTGCTCAGTGCCTCAGCTGCTTCACATGGTCGCTAGCTGTAGAGTTCTACCAGAGGTGTGTGTCTCTAATGTTGCTTTTCTTGCTTTACAGGAGGCCAGACAAGCTCAGTTATGTGATTTGTTTTGTTTCAAAACGGGCCTGCTTAAAAAATAATGGGGGGCCTGCCGAGTGGCAGGGTGGTTAAGAGTTAGCTTGGGACGCCAGAGGGCCCGGTTCAGATCCCACATATGAGGGCCAGTGACACTGCCCTCTACAGCTAAGATGCTGAACAACAGCTCAACCTGGAGCTGGG